AATGAAAAGATTATAAACCATCATCAACAAAAGTGAATCAGATTTTTAACAAGAGGCCCACGGGCCTTATAGGTCACCTGAGTATCCCTTAACAACTTTCTTCCAACAATTGAGTTTGATTTGTGTTTTAAACCAAGGTCATGATATTCACAATTTTGAAAGAGGCGCCATTGCTTATCATAATTGTAACTTAGCATACTTAGTTTGGTTACCTGATACCCAGAGGTAGATCATAGTAGCAAAAACAAAATGCATTTCCACTTTGTAATCAATTGTGCACCCCAACCCCCAGAAACCACTGACCCTGGGGCCATATATTCCAAAATTTTGGAAATTTTATACTGAATTTTATTTCATCATAAATTGTTGATTAATACCAAAATGCAGATTTCAAAGCAATAATTTATTTACAGACTATGTACCCTCCCCCTTCTAAATACCTCTGACCCAGGGACCAAGAAATTAACCTTTTTGGAAGGGGCAGCTTTCTTCTTCATAAATATGTACTCAGATTATTGGCAAAATACCCAGGAGCAAAGGAAGAGATTTTCAAAGGATTCAAGCATTTTATCATATAAACATAAAAGCCCCACCCTAACACAAGAAGTCCTGATCCAGGGGCCCTGAAATTCACTATATAATCTTTATAGCCCCGCCCTAGCACAAAAAACATCTGACCCTGGGGTCATGAAATTCACAATTTTGGACGAGGCAGCCTTTTTCAACATACCTATGCACTTGGTTAGTTTATTTAATGCCCACGAGCAGAGAAAAAGAATTTTTAAAGAATTTATGCATTTTCACTATATAATCTATATAGCCGCGCTAGAAGTAGAACCCCTGACCTTTGGGTCATGAAATTCACAATTTTGGAAGAGGCAGCCTTAGTTTAGTTTATTTAATGCCCATGAGCAGAGGAGAAGAATTTCAAAGAATTGATGCATTTTCACAATATAATCTTTATAGCCCCGCCTTAGCACTAGAATCCCTAACCTTGGGGCCATGAGATTCAGAATTCGGGATCAGGCAGCCGTATTCAACTTATTTATGCACTTGGTTAGGTTATTTAATGCCCAGGAGCAAAAAAGAATTTCAAAGAAATATTACATTTTCACCATATAATTTATAAAACCCTACCCTAACACTTGAACCCCTGGCCCTGGGTCCATGAATTTCAAAATTTTAGTAGAGGACTCAATGCTGTTTACAATCATACCAACAGTTTGACTGCTTGATGTCCAGGAGTAAAGACGAAGATTTTTAAAGACTGCTCCAATTTTAGTGGTTTTGGCCTCACCCCTCAGGCCCAAGGGGGGGGGGAACAAGGACCATGATATTTATAATTTTTGTACCCCTTAATCCATAGATCCTATATGCCAAAATTGGTTGAAAATGGTTTAGTGGTTTAAGAAAAGAAGCTGAAAATGTTCAATGTTAACGCACGTCGCACGATGAACGATGACGGACAAAAACGGATAGCAATATTAGGTCACCTAAGTTTACTCAGGTGACCTAAAAATTTAATAACAAACATACTTTGAAGTTCTTCCTCTCTTTTCCTAAGAACTTCGTTCAACTCCTTTATTCTTTCTTCTGCAAGCTTCTTTTCTTTGTTGAGAGATTCTGTTTAGGATATTGATGAACAAATTAGAATCTAACTTGCTTGTCAAAAGAAGCCAATAGAAATACAATTTAAGTTAAGTGTTATCTAAGCATACATGATGGATAATTAAAAAGATTGCAAACTACTGAGTAATTTAAGGTTAGACACAATAGATAGGCTATACTTTTCCTCAAATTCAATCTTTCGGAAACGTTGATATTTTGTTTTAGGATGCAAAATCTCTCTATATAATATGAAAGAAATTCAACCACAGTTTTTTTTTGCCCACATAGTTTGAAATATAGATCTATTTTGTTGTTACTTAGTAGTTTGTCTAATCGGGGACTCGGTCAAAAAGTTCTCGCTGAAAAAAACTTGTATAATAAAGATTTAATAAGAAATAGAATAATTTTACTCCCATCTTATCTTATCTTATCCATAGGATAATTTTACTCCGATCTTATCTATTTTAAACACATTACGGAATAACACTCGTGTGTTAACTAAAGAAGCTCTGGGTTTTTTATCATTCGGCTTAGAACCGTTATGCACATTCAGGTAAAATAAAATATTTTTTTCTACCAGTATATTTCATCTATTTCATCAAACAATTATGAGGCACCTAAATATGATAAACATTTGAAAAAGATTAAAAATTTCAGCTTAGTGTGACAATTATATTTTCGAGAATAACGCTTTGTCCACGATTTTACCGCACAAATCTTGTACTTTCATTTAAACAATCAACCCAATCAATGACAAAACTTCTGGCAATCCTTTGTCTTCCAATATCTTGTACAAAGTTTCGGATTAACGTTTAACTTTACTACCGGTCCTTGTTCATGTATAGCCGAACCCAACATTTTTTTTGTCATGAGTCATCTACACATAGACGTCATTTTCAATTGTTGAATTCTAAAACTTAATGTAAAACATTCAGTAATACACGCTGAAATAAACTGCCCCAAATATTTGATTTATGATTTATCTAAGGAAGTTCTGTATCATTTAAAGGCTTTTTTGATTCAGTAAAATGTGAATGGCTTTCGTTGCTTTCATTACAAAAGTAAAATGAATAATTAAAAAAAACATTGAAAACATTGAAAAGGTAGGTAAATAGTTATGAAATAGCAATCAAATTTATTGAAATAAACTGCTCATATAAAAAAAAAACATAGAAAAAATGAAAGTTTGTCTTTATTATATATGTTTCCTTCAGAAAAAATCTTAATTATTGTCTGAAATACATTAAAAATTTTGTAGCCTGAGAAACTTCCTACCATTCAAAGAATTGTTTTCTTTCTTCAGTTTTTCTAATTCATCCTTACTGACAAGCATCTCTGTAATAATAATTTAAAATAAAAACATGTTAGTATACCCTTAAACCCTGTAAGTAGACGGATTTGATAATAAGCCGGTTTTGAAAATAAGCCACATATTGTCTTGCATTGAAAATTACTCGAAAATAAGCCAGTCATAAATTTTCTTTTAATTCACGATGTACGTTTAGCATTCTCCATTGCTAAAAGCTCACCGTTTTTAAAACAGGTGCACAGAATTACAACACGTGAACACAATTCATTTAACTCTTACGGAAGTTTACTTTGATATTCTATGTTTAGAACGAACAAGTATACATGTAGTTCTTATTCTATCGTTTACCATTTATTTGATTGATAAAAAGCCGTAATTATGTTCTCGTTGAATACCAGTTTTTGTATTGATAATAAGCTGCGATTTGGAAATAAGACATTTTTGAAAATTAAGCCCTCACTTTCTTACCAAAACGTAAAATAAGCCGTGGCTTATTTTCAAGGTTTTAGGGTATATATCTCATGTAGATGTAACATGACGCATTACTTTTCATTTCAGTCCAACAAATCAAGCCACTAGTATTTTGAGATATATAAATATATATTATTATAACAGTAACTTGATCCGAAGGGTCGTATCACGTCGAGTTGACATGCGCGAAGAGTCGAGTTTGATCTGATGATCCGCGCCTGTCAACGAGACGTGATACGGCTCTTCGGATCCAGTTACTGTTATAATGATAAATTTATTATATACCCCCTTATAACTAGCTAAATATACCAAAATAAAAATTTAAAGATCAATTGTTTAATATTTATCCATAAAACAAAGCATAAAAACAATGGACTTTTTAACGTGCAAGAAAAATAACGTTTTTGCGTACTACGACATAAGTTTCCGAGAGTGGTAATATGGATTCAGAAAACCACAGTGTGGTGATCCGGAAAGTCGAATCACGTCGTCACGTGATTACGTAAATTCAACAGTAAAATTGAGTGATACATATTAGGTTTATAATAGTACATTCGTTCAACTGTTCCGCAGATTAGATAAATATATGAGTGGAAGAAAAAGGATATACTTCTTGTAAATCAACTCCTTCACTTTAATATGTTGACGGTGCGACCGTTAGAGCGAGCGCAAACTCTTCTATTGTTTTAATTAAGATCGGGCTCGTCAAACCGCACATGAAATTTGGTGCGTCTAGACTCTGACGTCACATGACGTCGTATGTAAGTTACAAATACCAAGAAAAAACTGAACAGTGCTGAAAGTTAATGAAAAAAGTTACGTTTACAATTTATCTTCAATATGAATCCATTTAATCAAGGCGAGTAAACTTTTTGTTGAACATTTGCCGTCATTCTCGCGAGAACGCAACTTTGCTAAGTGATGCATTGTGGGTCAAAATTACTGCGGCAAAAAATTCTAAAGAATGAATGTGCAGTAGTCCGAATTTTCTCTTCGCCCAGGCGTTGTCGTTAGAGTTCGCAGTTACGAGCGTCGCTTCGCGACGCTTGCTGCGCTCGCTATTACCGGTATCAATAATAGCCATATACTTCTATACATTATCATTAAAACCTTTAAAATTTTAGCATTTATAAAATTGTTCTTTGCGCATTTAAATCGGTGATGTAGTTTTTTTTCTTATATAATTCATCAAATCCTTCATCTCATTAGCCATAGCTATATTTGATTAAAGAACAGGCCTCTTAATCCTTTTTAGTAAAAATGCTCACCACTTTGATCTTTGATCGTTTTCCCTAATTTTTCCTTTTCATTAGTCGCCCGCGTGGCGCAGTGGTTAGAGCGTCTGCTCTAGAGTCGCGAAGAAAGGAGTCAATCCTTACGTCGCGGGTTCGAATCCCACTGTGGGACGTGGAGACCGGTCCTTCGGATGAGACCGTATAAACCGAGGCCCCGTGTCGCAGTAGGTGCTGGCACGAAAAAGATCCCTCACTGCTCAAAGGCCCTGAGTGCCGAGCATAGGACAAAATTTGTAGCCCTCCACCGGCAAGTGGTGGCGTCTCCATATGAGTGAAAAATTCTCGAGAGGGACGTTAAACAATATACAATCAATCAATCCTTTTCATTATTCGCCTCCACAAGTTTCTCTAGAAAATACAGTTAATTTTGATGATGAGAATAACTAGTTTTTCTTTCTTACTGAAGTTAAATCATTGTTATTTTCAATTCCAACAGAAAGAATTGAATCTTATCAATTTCAATTTATCTCTTGAAAATTGTCTCCAAACATGTTCTGAAGAACTTATACAGTCAAAAGGTCTATCAAAAGAAAACCAGAGGAATCTTAACAGTCATACGAGTAAAATGAATTTTGCCCAAAGACATGGTGGCTGATAAATGATTAAAGACAAATATCAAAAAAAAAATCTTCAGGTACATCAATTCAAACATGCATGTGCCTGTCCCCATTTCTCACTTTCACCCGAAAGATTTTAAAAAAACTATACTGCTTGAGCACTAATAGTATATAAAAATTGATTTTCTCTAACATTGCGTCTTCTGGTATTTAATTTATTCTATGTTGTTTTACGTCCTATTCGATAATTCCTTTTACTCATAAAGAGACGTTTCTGTTCCTGGAAGTAGTTTTAAGGTACACAGAAAACATACAAGTATTTTATGTTATTTTTATTTACCTTCGTTTCACTCTCTTCCTGAAATACCGTTCACGGTAGCTCAGTCGGTAGAGCGCTCGCTTCGTGATCGGGAGGTTGTGAGTTCGATTCTCGGCCGCGACTGACCTAAGTCGATAAAAAATGGGTAGCAACTGTTTCTTCGTCATGTGCTCGGCACTTTGAAGTGAAAGTTGTGGGTCTTTCGGACGAGACTTTAAAAACCGAGGCCCCGTGTCAGCGACAGGCGTTTGCATGATAAAGATCCCTCACTGCTCAATAGCCCTGAGTGCCGAGTAAAGGTCAAAATTTTAAGCCCTTTACCGGCGTACCGTGACGTCTTCATATGAGTGAAAAATTCTCATGAGGGACGTTAAACAATATACAAGCAATCAATCTTCCTTAAATAAATTTTAAAGAAATTCTTCATTTCGCTAATATAATATGTTGATGATGTGACCGTTAGTTCGATCGCAGATACCTATTCAGTTTCAATTTTCATCCGTCTCCTCAAATCCTACTTTAAAGTTGGTTTATCTAGACTGTACTCTGTCTGACGTCACAAGATCCCACCTCTGATGTTTTGGAGGTCAGTGTTTGCTCTGCACCTATTTTATATTGTTTTATTGATTTTGAACACTGTTTGTTTTCTTCTCATGTTTCACGTGAACCCCTCACCCATGAAATTCACAAGTTAAAAAGAAGAGGCACCATTGCCTTTCAAAAACCATGTATTTTTTTTAAAAATATTGCTACTATAGTTTAGATATACCCCTTACAAATAAACATACTTTGGAGTTCCTCTTCTGTTTTTGCATGAATATCCTTAATCTGCTGAATTTCCTTTAATTTTTCTTCTCTAGCTTTCTTTTCTTGGGCGAGAGAGTCTGCCAGATATATTGAAAGGATGATCATTATCTAGCTCAGATGTCAAAAGAAGTCAAAGGATGTACTATGATGTGTTTATGCTTTTTTTGTGCGACTTCTTTAATCTTTTTAATAAATATAGGTGTATCCCTCCTTAATAATAATGATCGAAATATTTTAAAAATAAAATTCCTTCTCAGAAGTCCTGTATCATTTAATGAGTTTATTTCCTCTTTCATTTTTTTTATTTCCTCCTCACTGGCGAGTTTCCATGTTAAAAAAGAATTACATATGTAAGACTACCAAATGCGACGGTCACGACAAAAAGCGATGAACTCGCCAAACCACGATGGTCTGCGCCAAACCCCGATGGCTCGCCACTTTTACGGACGCCAAAGTCTGATGTTCACGCAAAAGTCCGGTGGCTTGTTTACAACGAAACGCGATGCGCCAAAGAAAACTCAATGTTTACGACGTCACAATAATCCACGTCAATCCTTGAAGCTGTTGTCCTGCATTCAAAAGCCACCATTTCGGATTCGTCCTCGCATACAATTTACTGATTTGGTACCCTAGAGAGATATTAGGATTAGTCCTCGCACACTTGACTGATGAGGTTTAGTCCTTGTGCACTTTTGCTGATAAGTAATAATGGGATAGTTTAGCACCTTCCCGAGAAGTTTTGGGTTAGTCCTCGCACACTATTCAACTGATTAGGGTTAGTCTTGCAACCTATTGATTGTCCCAATCTTAGTTATTACACACTTTTCGACACTTTTCGACCGATAAGGGTAAGTTTTGGGTTAGTTGTGCACCTATCCGAGACATTAGGGTTAGTCCTGTCATATGATATTTATTTGTATTTATTTAAAGATTTAAAGATCTTGGCATGTGCAGCATCACAATTCAGTGAAGTAGTATTATGACGTCATAATCTTTAATTCTTTTCCCAGACCATCGGACTTTGGCGTGACCATCGCACTTTGGAATCCCATAGCACTTTGGAGTCCTACACATATATATGAAAAATGCTCATATGACATAATACCTTTTAGTTCAAAACTATATTTCAATTTTAGATTTCACATGTGTTTCAATCCTTGGAGAGAAAAAAAGTTTTAATCGTCGTACTTCAAACTTCAAACTGGGAAAAAATTATCCATGCTTGTGCTAGCATCCGTTAAAAAATAATTTTTAAAAAACTTTCTCTATTAAAACATGTAGTCAGTAGAGGCCAACAGAGATCCTCACGCATGCAATTTACAATTTTCTGGAGAATCAGTTTTGTTTATCATAACTCTGCATTTCCTTTGTTTGTTCATTAACCAGAACAAAAGAAGAATATTTTCAAAGATATAAGGGCTTTTCACAATATAATAAATAAATCTACTCCCAATTCCCAAAAAACCGTGATCCTCAAGCCAAAATTTCTCTTTTTTGCGAGTTATCCTTAGTCATCACGATCTTGTATTTACTTTATCTAGTTTATTCAAATGGGAAGAGGAAAATAATTTTAAAGATTTTTTTTTAGATTTACATGGTCAATGGAGCCCCATGCTGACATCAGAACCCTTGACCCTGGGACTGTGATGTCGATTTTTAGCTTTAGATTTATTGCTCTGTATAAGGATTCCAACAACTTGTTCAGGGGTTAAGAAGAAAATGTTTTTAAGATTGCATTGAAGTCCATCTCTCAGGCTCTGGAATCCAGAACGATTGCGGATCTTGAAATTCACAGTTTTCGTATCCTTAAGCAATAGATGCTTTAGGCCAAAAATTGTTGAATATTTTTCATCTGTTGAAAAAGGTTCAAAAGTTTACGACCGACACATGACAAAGACAGAAAAAGCTTTAGGTCAATTGCGTACCTTTTGTAACTCAGAAAACAGAAACGGACAGAACATACAAAGTGAAACAAAACTTAAACTAGTGAATACAGAGAGAAATTGCGTTGATACATTTCCTGTTATTTTTTCATAATACTGAATGAAGCTTTAGCCAAACTAACTTTCTGAAAGATTTGATTTACCATGTAAAGAATATAGCATACTTTGGAGTTTTTCCTCTGTTTTTGTATGCGCATCCTTCAACTGCTGAATTTCCTTTAATTTTTCTTCTCCAGCTTTCTTTTCTTGGGTGAGAGAGTCTGCCAGATATATTGAAAGGAAAATCACTATCTAACTCAAACGTCGAAAGAAGGCAAAAGATGCACTCTAATATGTTTATGCTTGATTATTTGTGCGAATAGTTGCTTTTTGTTTATTAAGAATAGCAGGTACTAGTATGTAGTTCCTTAAGAATAATAACGCTTAAAATATTTTAGAACTTTTAGAACTTTTAAATATCTTCTGAGACGTTTTGTACCATTCAAGGATTTTATTTCCTTTGAAGCTTTCCTATTCAATTCTCATTAACGACCCTCTTTGTTATAAAAAGAAAGAAGTATATGAGACTTGTAAACATGAAAGTTTTACTTTTATTTTGATCGGATAATAATAATAACAGTTAATAACACGAAAACAGTATCAATAACTGCTCAGGTATGAATTTTCAATTTAGTAAAGTGAGAAATTATTTCCAAGGCTTATATTAAAAAAAAATTTGAAAGGAGTTGATTAAACCAGCTCTAAACACTGCACCCTATGAGTTCTAATTATAGGGTAGTTTTACGCTCTAGGAGTGATCTGCCCTTAGTTCGAAGTGCAATAGAAAAAATGGTTATTTAAGTTAATTACATAATTCGTAATAGATTAAAATATTCCTAGTTTTATATTAGACCAAGAAAAAGTTTTCATTAATTTTCCCATTAATGTTAGTTCACAGCAGTGTTTCCTTTTGCGCATAGTCTAATGCAAAGCGAACATTTCTCCTGCACAATTTTAAGGTTGGTACATGTACCATACATATGTATGTTGAAAATTGAAAAAATAATCTTGATATGATATCTTTCTATGATATATTTTCCTCCAAGTCTAAAAAGTAATTTCTGTTAGTGTTTAATGCATTTTTAAGTTTAAAAATTAATTGGATATGTTAAATAGTGAAACATCTTATACTGACAATTATATTCCAGCATTCATTGTTGACCTCTTGAAAAAATCTATTACTGGGAATGGGTTAAAGGACAAATGGGGTATCCCTTGACGTTCTGGAGAGTCCCAGGGGTTGGAAAGGGCCAGTGAGCTATCCTGACCTTATTTGTCTTTTTTTATCATTGACAAACTGGAAACTGTCAGCTATTATACCTCATATCTTTGAAAATTCCACCAAATCATTACTGCGGCAAGGTAGAGGGGCCCTAGGGCTATTATTTCCCGCTATCAGAATGGGGCTGTAGTGGTACCACCATGTGGTGCCAAGTGATAATGAACTTATTTTATTTAGTTAATATAAAGGAAATGAGAGACGATCTTTAGAGACTTTTTAGATTTTTTTATAACATGATAAATGGAGCCTTATTCAAACTCCAGAACCCGTGACTCTTGGATCATGAATTTGAGTTTTAGTAGAAGACTTATTGCTTCATATAATTATTCCTAGTATCTGGTAGTTTGATGCAACAAAAACGTACTTTGGAGTTCTTTCTCAGTTTTCGTATGAGTATCCTTTAACTGCTCAACTTCCTTTGATCTCTCTTCTCCAGCTTTTCTTTCTTGACTGAGTAAGTCTGTCAGATATAGTGATAGCAAAATCACTATCTAGCTCATATGTTGGAAGAAGGCAAAAATTGTATTATATACTGAAAGGATTAAGAAACGCATATTAAACTTTTCAGTTAAATTAAAACAATTATTTCGAATATGTTTTTCAGCATTTTTATCATACATTTTAATTCATCTTTAATCAACAAGTGACCAAAATTTTGTGCGATTTTGAGTGATAGTTCCTGAGATATTGATATCAATATGGTGACACCCCCCAAAAATAAAACCAAAAATTCTCATAATCTCCCTTTTGCAACAGTAAAAAACTTGATTTTCCCGTGCATTGAGTTCACCAGAGCATTTATTTTTTCATAGCATAATTAGTCAATCCTTCCGACGGTAGTCTTAATGGCTGAGATTAGCTGTATTATTCCAAAGTCAACAAATCCCCCGCTCAATCGAATCCTGCGAATTTTCGATTTAGGATAGAATATACAGAACCCAGCAGGTTTGTTACTTGTGAATGTTTGTAAAAAAGTATCGACAAATATTAGCTACATTTTTTCAGTGTAAACATGCTAAAAATCATTACGCAAATGACGCGTACGAGCGCGTTTGAGAGTAAAATCGACGTAAGCTGGACAAGCACGCGGCCCAAATTAGAGCGGAGAGTTTCTGTCAGTTTAGGGTGAAAAAAGTGAGTATGTTTGTCTGCTGTATAAATATCAGTTTCGGTGATAATGCCTTAAAATCCGATAACCGAGGTGGCGTGATGAAAGGCCATATCTTGTTGTGACGTTGGTACGCGCGAACGTCACCGTCATGGTTGGTTGGAAACATTTCAAGTTCACTCTCTGACAACCAAAAAACACTTTTATTTGATTTAAAAGTTGAAAACAATCAGTACAGCAGCATGTTTTTGCCTTTTTATTCACTTATGCAATATTGAATTCAATTACTAAACTCACAGTAGATTCCGTCAGCCATACCACGATTGCAAGAAATCTATACTGACTGCAAATATGCAAAAACAATGTCTATAATTCTAATGTATAGTATGGTACTACAAAATTTTATTAGAAAATTATCATCATTAACATGCACGTGTTTTTGTCTTTTTATCATTTCCCCTACGTGATGCCATACATTTCAAAGTTGAGTAGTTTTGACAAGTGATTTTAGTGCAAAGTAACAAAAATAAACATCTGACCAATTTTCATAATTTGCGGTCACATAGTCAAAAAATTTTCCCATATTATGTTCTTGTGCGTTTCTTTTTCCTTTCAGTATAATATGTTTATGCTTGGTTATTCATTGAAATAATTTTAATGTTTATAGATAATTACGGATATACACTTCCTTAAGGTTTCGTCAAAGGTCAACATGTTCAAAAAATCATTTTTATGATAGCCCAAACACTATGTGAGGTATAAAGTTTAAACTTTTACAGTTTATAAATTTTTCATTTATATACAGATAGAAAGTATCACTTGATAAAAAAAATACTCCGAAAAAATATTAATTGAGAAAAATTCTTCTTAAAAATGCATATTTTTAAAAAAAAAATACACCTAATTGATTCCGTGCTAAATGTTAAGACTTGAAAGTGAAAGTACATTGCAAATGGCGGATTCTATAGGAGTCTTGTCTTTATATTTGGCATGCTTTCAATAACAGCCTTTCAGAGACCATTCACGTTCAACTTGCCTTTCAATGATAAACATATATTATTTCTGCAATGATGTTTTTCACAAAAAGGACAGAATTATGCAGGTGCATTTTTTTTTAAATATGCACAATTTTTAAACAATTTTTCTTTAAAAAAATCTTTTTTTAAAAAATATTTGTTATCAATTGATACTTTTTATCTATTTTAAAATCAATGATATATTCATAAATCGTAAATGCTTTGACTTTATACCACACATAGATTTGGAGCTATTGTAAAAATTGTTTTTAGACATGTCGACCTTTGACGAAACCTTAATAGTTATCAGGATCATATACTTTATTACTAAAATCATCTTTGAAAAGCTTTGTACCATGCAAGGCTTTTATTTCCTGTTCTTGTTTTTCTATTTTATCCTCACTGACGACTTTCTCTGCTATATAAATAGAAGCATTCACATGTACATATGACACATAAACTTTTTTAACCTATGTTTTTTAAAAACATTTTACTGTTCCATAAAGAAAATAAAACATAAAAAGGTAGTATGAGGCAATGGATTTTCTGAAATTATTTTCGTAGCTTATTTTCACGCAACTTTTAATATGAAATAATTGGTATTTTTTATTTTAAACTGTGATGTTTAATCTTATCACATCTTATTTCGAGTTACATCGGGTGACACTGTGGACCAAAGGACATGCCTATTATCTGCCAGAATTTTTTTTTTAAAAATGTACCTTTTTTCTGTTAGACTACATTTGTTTCTTCTTGAAGTTATTTTCTTTCACTTTCATGAATTTGTTTATTATGTATGCAATATATTAATAACAAAGATATAGAAGTAAAAAAAACTCTTTACAAACGGAACTGCGGAATCAGATAGGAAACTGAATGTTTAAAAAGGTTTATCAAAACAGATAACAATAAAGCAGAAAAATATATAAATTCATAAATGCATAAAAAAGAAATTGGACATATTTTCAAAGCTAAAGAATAAATTTTAAATGACTGATCCATCGTATGGATTATTTCAATGAAATATCCTGCTATTTACAAAATATTATAATTTTTAATGATTATATATATAAATAAAATTCTTACCATGACTTTCTTCGAGTTTTCTTTTCAATTCTTCATTTTCTTGATTGGCTTTCTCTAGCATCTCTAAAAATTTAAATCGCTTGAAACATTATTTACAAAAAAAAACATATTTCTTTCTTTATCACTGACAATTAAATGAATATAATAAATATACTCTTTTAGTTTGTTAGTTACAGAAAAAAATACATAACTGGCAAAAGCCGATTTTGCATTTCGGAGGGGGATATCCGTCACAGTAAACTATTCATTCGATGAGTAGATATGACGTCATTATCTATTTCAACTTTCTTTTTCCCGTACTCTAAGGCTTTAGCAAAATTATGTAAAAAAAAAAAAAGGTATTTTCATGGCATTGAATTTAAAATCATTTGAAAAGTAACCCTGGTACCTAAATAAAATTTGATATTTTGAAGAAGATGTCATGAACATACACATTACCGTTTTCGGAGAGACTGCAGGAAATCTAGATCATTCCTTTATCGAATGTGAAAAAAAACTCCCATATTCATGACTGGTTTTCTTAATTTCTCATTGAAAAGGACAATTAAAATTTGATTTTTCATCCTGTTTACTCACAAATTCTGATCCAAAACACCTTATTTCGCCAAGCTCAAGTTATAAAGCATCATTTAAGAAATTTATTTCTCAAATATGATAAATATGTAGGCATCTTTCATTTCCTAAATCTTGACCTTAAACTTACATACAATATTTTTAAAAACTAAAGCCTTATCTAAAAAAAGACTAATGCAATACTTGATATCGCGATTACTTAATTTAGCGGAAATCTTTCGTGTTGGAGATGGGAGATGTATGTTGGATGGGGGCAATGTACTACTGTATACAATGTAAGATCGATCATTGTGAAATGTGAATAGGCAGATGAGAAAGAAATTCTGGTGAAATATCTTGCTAAACATTTGCTGAAGCAGCCTAATGAATATTTGATGAGGAGCTAATTCTGATTTCTTACACGTTTCACGATACATTTCACAAAGGGGACTTTCTTTATATTTATACTTCATGAAGAAATATTTCTAACCGACGGTGTTCAGATTTTAGAACGCAGTTCGCAGTTTGCAATTCAAAAGTGAACTGCGTTCTAGAAAGCAGTTTGCAATTAAAATTTTAACTTAAGCTGTGTGTTCTGATATTTTGAAGGGGGAGGGGGTACTAGGGGTCAGATACCACCTCTATGAAAAAATGGTGATGGTACCTTCTCGAGTTTCCGAGACATGGCCCTCCACTTTTTAGCCCTACTGTATAATACTATACGAATAAACATCGGGCTCGGAGACATCGAGGTCCCCTACACTGAAATTTTGAGGGTGGGGCATTAGGGATCACATACCACTTATTCAAGAAAAACGGTGATGGTACCATCTCTAGTTTCCGAGATATGGCCCTCCAGTTTTTAGCCCTACTAAATAATACTATACAAATAAACATCGGGCTCGGAGATATCGAAGTTCCCTACACTGGGGTATGCAATTTTGAGGGTGGGGCACTAGGGCTCAGATACCTCTTGTATGAAAGAAATGGTGATGGTACCGTCGCTAGTTTTTGAGATATGGCCCTCCAGTTTTCAGCCCTACTAAATAATACTATACGAATAAACACCGGGTTTGCAGACATCGAAGTCCCCTATCCTGGGGTATGAAATTTTGAGGGTTGGGCACTAGGTGTCAGATACCACTTGTATAAAAAATGGTGATGGTATCATCTCTAGTTTCCGAGATATGGCTCTCCAGTTTTTAGCCCTACTATATAATTCTATACGAATAAACATCGGACTCTGAGACATGGAATATATCTTCTACATTCCTATAAATAGCAGACAAACCATTTTGTCATTCTTTTCTTTGGAAAAACCCCCTTGATTTTATACAAAACTATATTTAGCTTTCACATGTGATACCTGTTAATAGTCAATTGTATTTACGTCAGAAATTGAAAAAAAAAACAACATAGAGTTTGCTTTCCGATTGTTTAGGTGTGAATATTTTGATTTTTTAAAAATATTTTATTTCAATAATTTTCATCTTATTCACTTCTGAAATTTTATTTCAACTATAGTCATTTCGGATATATATGTTATTTCACAAAAATATGTCATCTAAAATTAATTGATTACATATGTGCATAATTTTAATAATTCGGGATTTTAGGGTTTACCATTTTTATAAGAATCCTGCAATTAAAAAAAAGGGGGGGGGGTTACAGTGGAAGAATTTAAAAATAATCATAGTGGAAAATTATATCCAATATTTAGAAGATATCAATGCATATGAGTTATAATGAAAATGTTTTTATAATTTTAGATTTCTTTCTCCATGAATATGAAAAATTTATACAGCAAGATTTAAAATTTAAATTCCTTTTTTTTTAAGTTGTAAAAATTTTACTATCAACTTTTGTTTGATGTTATACAGATAAAGCCCTTTCATGATGTGTATCCATACATGAAGATACAGTTGTGTACATAGATTTCATAGAAGTAGAAAATACTCTTTTTTATGAAGTCGATATATATACGTGTAGATTGACTGTATGAGAGAACTACCCGGTAGGTTTGTTAACTTTTTAACTGAAAAAATAATTTGTACAAGCCATAAGTTTTCTCTTTCATCTTTTTATCCACCAAACGAAGTTTTGAGTATAATCGAATTAACTTGTCCGTCTAGCTGTCTGTCCGACTTTATAGCTGTCTGAGTCCGGTCCACATATATCTTTTGATGAAATTTACGAATTTACTTCTACCTACAAAAATTGCTCATGGCCTAAGGATGTGTCATGGCCTTAACCGGAGGTCAGTTTGGCAAGTTCAAGGTCACTGAAAAAAAACTTTTTCATAAATCGTGTCCGGCCCATATCTTATGTATACACTTAGTGAGTTCCCATTTTACACTAAGATTGCTTATGACCTGAGATTGTGCTATGACTTGACTAAAAGCACATTTGTGCAAGTTCAAGTTCAACTTTAAGTAAAGGTTCATAATTATAGTTCCTGTGCAAAAAAACCTGAATCTACCACTTTATACAAAGATTGCTTCGGACCAGACGGTGTGTTATGACATTGACCCAAATTATTTTGTGAAAGTTTAGTGTGACTAACACACAGACGTGTTACTGTGCATGGAAATTCTGATAGTATTTCTAGGAGACAATGCATACCAGCCAACCTTATTAAAATAACATCAGAAAGCCAAAGACCTATTGCCCCCTGTGCAAGACCTGTGGTTCTTTATACTCTAAACTGTAGATCAGTGAGAAATAAGACCGATTCCATCTGTGATCTTATAATATCAAATGATATTGACTTACTTGCATTAACAGAAACCTGGCTCGGGGAATCTGATCAGTGCGTCATATCAGAACTCTTGCCGGATGGGTACAAATTTATTCATAAAGCGAGGAATAATGGTCGAGGTGGCGGAGTAGCCCTCGTTTACAAGAGCACCATGGATATTAAAGCTGTGAGTAGAGAAGATACATTCACACACTTTGAATACCTGGAATGCGTCATTAACTTCACTCGCCTATGTATCATATACCGACCTCCTCCATCTAAGAAGAACCAGCTAAGGAATTCTGTCTTTTTCGACGAATGGTCCCACTTTCTGGACAGTGTGGTGGTTGATCACAGGAAATTAATTATTACTGGTGACCTCAATTTCCATTTGGATAATGTGCAGGATCCTGAGGGTGTCAAATTTCTAAGGATGTTAGATGATCATGGATTGGTTCAGCACGTGAAGGAATCAACGCATTCTGGAGGCCATATTCTGGATGTGGTGATATTGAGGGATAGCAGCTCTGTCCAATATGGTGAACCGTGTGTAACAGACCCAGGACTATACGACAAGAATGGTAACCCTGCTGGTGACCATCTAGCCATCTGCTCAAAACTCACACTATCCAAGCCGGCAAGGGAGCGTAAGTCTATTAAATTTAGAAAATTACGGGATATTGTAATCAGTGACCTAAGCAATTCGATCCGCTTTTCTTTCGAATTACAGAAAGGTGAAAATTCGGTGGAAAATTCTGTGAATCTATATAATATAACTCTTCAAAACATTCTAGATTCTCTTGCACCTGTACAATCAAAAGTGATTACCATTCATCCTGACTGTCCATGGTACACCAGTGAGCTAAGAGCTGCTAAGAGGGAAAGGAGAAAGGCAGAGAGACAAATGCGTAGAACTGATTTGACTGTCCATAAGGAAATTTACCGCAGTCATTGTACCCAGGTATCTAAACTTGCTATTCACTGTAAGAGGAGTTACTATGCAAGCAAAATTGTGGAGATGGGCTAGAATCAGAAACAACTGTATCGCCTTACAAACAGACTTATGGGAGCCAAGTCCGATGTTGTATTGCCGGCACATCAATGTGAAGAAATACTGACCAACTCCTTCGGAGAATTCTTCCAGGCTCAGATTCAGAAGATAAGAAATGAACTGTGTAATAGTAGTAAGATAGGCATTGATCCACTAAAGAATGATAATGAGTTTACTGGTGTTCACCTGCATGCTTTTGAACCTGCATCTCAAGATGAGATCCGTGTCATGATCATGTCAGCATCTCCTAAGTCCTGTGAACTCGATTCCATGCCATCATTCTTGCTGAAATCATGCCTTGCTATGGTAACGGACATTATAAATCATTCCCTAAATCAGTCTGTTGTTCCATCATCCTTTAAGCAGGCTGTTGTTCGTCCTCTCATCAAGAAAACCGGCTTAGATCCAGAGGAGTACCGCAACTACAGACCTGTCTCAAACCTTTCCTTCCTCTCCAAAATTCTTGAAAAAGTTGTTGCTAAACGTCTTGATCATCACCTAGAATCAAATTACCTTCATGACAATGTACAATCAGCATATCGCCCATTTCACTCTACTGAAACAGCTTTACTTAGAGTCCATCACGATATTGTTGCAGCTTTAGATTCTGGTTCATGTGTGCCATTAATTATGTGACCTATCTGCAGCTTTTGATGTCATCGACCACTCCATTCTGATAAATCAACTAGAAATTGGTTTTGGCATATCTGGCTCGGCCCTCGCATGGATCAAGTCGTGCCTATCAGGAAGGACGCATAAAATTGCCATTGGATCTTCTTTTTTCAAGGACTACCATTTTAGATGTGGTGTACCACAAGGATCTGTGTTGGGTCCAAGGTTATATTCCAATTTTTCCAGACATATTGGTAACATATGTTCCAAAAACAACATACACCATCATTGTTATGCTGATAATACCCAAGCTTATCTGATTTTTAAACCCAGGAACAACTGGAATAATACCGCTTTGAGACTTGAAACATGCCTGGAAGAAATCAAGCAGTGGATGTGTTCCAACATGCTAAAACTAAACCAGGACAAAACAGAATTTATAGTTTTTACTCCGAAACAACAACTCAAGGAGTCTCCATATTACCATCTGAACTTTAGTGACACCATCGTGAGAGAGGCGACCAGTGTAAAGAGCCTCGGGGTGTGGTTTGATAAGTCTCTTAGCATGCAAATGCAAATTTCCTCGGTGTCTCGTGCATGCTATTACCAGCTTAGGAACATTGGGAGAATACGTCCATTGATTACAGAGGATGCCTGCAAGACCCTGGTCTGTTCTCTTGTGACATCTAGGCTCGACTATGCCAACGCTCTCCTCTATGGCATAAATACAACCGAAATAGCCAAATTACAAAGAATACAGAACACAGCAGCACGCATTATTACTCGTTCCAGGAAGAGGGAGCACATTACTCCGATCCTTGTTTCCCTTCATTGGCTTCCAATTGACAAACGCATCTAGAACAAAATTCTTATTTATACTTACAAAGCAATCAACAACATAGCACCAAAATACATTGCAGAGCTCATCACCGTATATCAACCTGGTCGTTCCCTTAGATCGGCAAACAAGCTGTCACTGCAAAGACCACATTGCCGAACGCGAACGTCAACCTATGGGAATAGACGTTTTGACGTGGCCGCTGCATCCCTCTGGAACTCTTTACCTCCACATCTGGTTTTATGCCCATCTTTGAACACTTTTAAAAAACATCTGAAAACTCATCTTTTTAGGGAAGCATTCGGTTAAATTTTTATCTTTATGTGTCAAATATAGACTGTTATTATTTATTTATTTATGTATTTATGTTTAAAGATTTCTGACTTTAAATATTTGGTTATTTTTAATCTTCTGAAATTTCTTATGCTCTATTGTATGCAGTTTTCTCTTTTCGTGTTTTGATTTCGTTTAATCATCATTTTGCAAAAATATTTTTAATTTTTAAAATGGTTATCAACACTAAATTTTATTTTCTTATGCTATTCAACAAAATTTTTATTCTTGATGTTGTATTTATGAATGTATTTTAACTATGTTGTACAGCGCTTTAGAGTAATTGTGTTTATTATATAAGGCGCTCTATAAATTTTGTATAATAATAATAAAAGAAAAAGTGCATAATTTGTGGATAGTCCATATTTTACTTAGGGATAAATTTGGTGGGTTTTTCTTTTATACAAAGATTGCGTTTGACTTGAATTTTTGACTTGATCTTTATTCAAGGTGTTTTGTGCACGTTTAATGTCACAGGAAGAAAGTAGAAATATGTTCATAGAACATGAATGCCCGGCCGAAGGTATATTAGTAATGCAACATGAAAATTTATATGAAATTTGTTTAAAATATCTTGAAAAGTGATGCAGTTGAATTGCTTACATCAGTATGTATCAGCATATGAAGTTTGACACTAATTAAGAGAAGTGAGGTCAAGGTCAAATGAAAGATCAAGGTAAAAAATGTTGATATAATTGAATTGCTTACATCAGTATGTTACACCATATGAAGTTTGAACTAATTTAAGGTATAGATCAAGCAAAGGCCATGGTCAAAAACTTTTGATACAGTTGAAAAGCTCTCATCCGTATGTATCAGCATATTAAGTTGAAAAAAACAAAACATTATGAATAGTTTCTTTGAAATTGACATAAACACAATTTGATAGAGTGAGGTCCAGGTCAAAGGAAATGTCAAGTTCAAAATGTTGATGTAGTTGAAATGTTTACATCAGTATGTATCGGCATATTAAGTTTGACGCTAATTTTGGAAAAGTGACGTCAAAGGAAAGGTCAAAGGTCAAAATTGTTGATGCAGTTGAATAGTTCTCATCAGTATATGAAGTTTGATAAAATATCGTGGATGGTTCCTTTAAAACTGAGCTTAACACTAGTATAAGAAAAGTGTGGTCAAATTTCAAAGGAAAGGTCAAGGTAAAAAATTTTGATGCAGTTGAATAGGTTTTATCAGTTTTTATCAGTATATGAAGTTTGATAAAAAAATTCTTGTATAGTTTCTTTAAAACTAAGCTAAAAACTAATTGAGAAAAGTGTGGTCAAGGTAAAGGAAGGGTCAAGGTCAAAAACTTTGATGCAGTTGCATAGCTCTCATCAGTATGTCTCAACATGTGAAGTTTGATAAAAACACCTTGAATGGTATGTTTAAAACTAAGCAAAACACTAATAAAAAAAAAGTGAGGTCAAGGTCAAAGGAATGGTAAACATCTAAAATATTGATGCAAATGAAAAGCTCTCATCATTATGGATCAGTTCATGAAGTTTGAAAAAAAAATATATTGGATGATTTCTTTAAAACTGAACTAAACACTAATTTATGAAACATGTGGTCAAGGTCAACGGACAGGTCAAGGTATAATAAGCTGCATAGCTGTCATCAGTATTTATCAACATGTGAGCTATATCTCAGAAACTACAGATGGTACCATCGCCATTTTTTTCACTAAAGTGGTAACTGACAACTAGTAGGCTACCCTAAAAATTTCAGACCCTACGGTAGGGGACTTCGATGTCCCCGAGCCCGATATTTATTCGTATAATATTATATAGTAGGTCTTAAAACTAGATGGCCATATCTCGGAAACTAGAGAAGGTACCATCACCATTTTTTTCATACAAGTGGTTTCTGACCCATTTTATTCCACCCACAAAATTTCAGACCCCAGGGTAGGGGACTTCGATATCCCCGAGCCCGATGTTTATTAGTATAGTATTATAATACTAGGGCTAATACTGGAGGGTCATATCTCGGAAACTAGAAATGGTACCATCACCATTTTTCAAAGATGTGGTATCTGACCCCTAGTGCCCAACTCTCAAAATTTCAGCAACAGGCTAGGAGACTTCTATGTCTCCGAGCCCGATGTTTATTCGTATAGTATTATATAGTAGGGCTAAAAACTGGAGGGCCATATCTCGGAAACTAGAGATGGTACCATCAACATTTTTTCATAGAAGTGGTATGTGACCCCTAGTGCCCAACCTTTAAAATTTCAGGCCCCGTGGGGATCCGGGTTAGAATAGGTCCCCAGTACCCCCTTGCTTGTCGTAAAAGGCGACTAAATGGGGCGGTCTTTCGGATGAGACCGTATAAACCGAGGCCCCGTGTCACAGCAGGTGTGGCACGATAAAGATCCCTCCCCGCTTAAAGGCCGTAAGTGCCGAGCATAGGCCTAAATTTGCAGCCCTTCACCGGCAATGGTGACGTCTCCATATCAGTGAAATATTCTGGAGAGGGACATTAAACAGTATACAATCAATCAATCAATCAAAATTTCAGACCCCAGGGAAGGGGACTTCTATGTCTCCGAGCCCGTAAAGTATTATATAGTAGGGCTAAGAACTGTAGGGACATATCTCGGAAACTAGAAATGGTACCATCAACATTTTGTAGGGGACATCGATGTCTCCGAGCCCGATGTTTATTTGTATAATATTATATGGTAGGGCTAAAAACTGGAGGACCATATCTCGGAAACTAGAGAAAGTACCATCACTATTTCTTCATAGAAGTGGTATCTTACCCTTGTATCCCACCCTCAGAATTCCAGACCCCAGGGTAGGGGACTTCGATGTCCCCGAGCCCGATGTTTATTCGTATAGTATTATATAGTAGGGCTAAGAACTGTAGGGCCATATCTCGGAAACTATAGATGGTACCATCACAATTTTTTCATAGAAGTGGTATCTGACCCCAAGTACACCAACCTCAAGATTCCAGACCCCAGGGTAGGGGACTTCGAAGTCCCCGAGCCCGATGTTTATTCGTAAAGTATTATATAGTAGGGCTAAAAACTGGAGGGCCATATCTCGGAAACTAGAGATGGTACCATCACCATATTTTTTTTCATAGAAGGGGTATCTGACCCCTTGTACACCACCCTCAAAATTTCAGACCCCAGGATAGGGAACTTCGATGTCCCCGAGCCCGATGTTTATTCGTATACAGCTTACTCCACTTATATTGAACTCGCTTATTTTGAAATTCCGGTTATTTTGAAGTAGAAATAAATCCCCCGTTTTTGCCTCTCATATTCTTTGCATTAAAATGACGGTTATATTGAAATCGGATGTATTGATATTTCGCTTATATTGAAGCCACTGATAGGTCCTCAAAGGTGATAATTAGTTGTCTTCATAACGGTTATAATGAAGTACTCCCTGGCGGCTGACGTTTCGGTTGGTGACAGTAATTATGCCTGATTGACCAGTTGATATACAAAGGTGTGAATAATTAAGTTTTTACCTTATGCGTTTTTATACTGCATGATCTTACGAAAATAAATTCTTCACTGTTAAATTCTTTGCGTCCACGTATATTATACGGACATATCGAGACTAAACAGCTAAACGTAATATAGTAACCCCCACATATCTAGGGAAAAACATAACTTTGAAATTAAATACGTACTGTTAATGGCTATTGCTATGTCTAAATTCGAAATAACTAAGGTATTAACCCGAGTACACTTACGATTAAATACAAGCAGCGTTCAGCAGTACTCAACCTTTAAGTTCGGTGAATTTTCTCCAAAACGTAAATAAATGCGGGGAATAATAATGAAGGGTGAAGATTGTCTTTTCAATGAAACAGAAATTAAAAAAAAATATTTAAACCTTCAAGGACTCATATTCTATGTAATCTGTTCACTGTTATAGCTAAATGATGACAAATTAATTTGTTCTGGTTGCTCTTCTTTATTTAAGATCGGGATTGAACTTGTAAAAATGGCGGCTTCACGATTTCGCTTATATTGAATTACGGATATATTGAAATAATTTGCATGGTCCCCTGAATTTCAATATATCCGGAGTAGGCTGTAATATTATTTTGAAGGGCTAAAAACTGGAGGGCCTTATCTCGGAAACTAGAGATGGTACCATCACCATTTTTTCAAAGAAGTGGTATCTGACCCTAAGTACCCCACCCTAAAAATTTCACACCACACAGCTTAAGTTAAAATTTTGAATTGCGAATTGCGTTCTAGAACGCAGTTCACTTTTGAATTGCGGACTGCGTTCTACATGTAAAATCTGAACGCCCTAACCGACGTGTATATATTCATGAAAATATTACGAGTTTCCATGATTGGAAAATAACGGAAAAATCTGTCGCCAATTCAATGTGTTTATATTGGCCTAACAATTAGCATTAAACTCGTGTTTTACAGGAGATGTGTTTGCTCTGGTCCTGATTTGTTTTGTTTGATTGGAATTTTGAGCTTAAAAATGTTCGTCATCTCCCTTTATATTTTATTGTTCTAAATTTCTAAAATACACGACTTTAGGAAATTACATACATGTATTTAATAATGATACAAAATAAAAGAAACTAACAACAAGGATTCTTTTGAGATCCTTGAATATAGAATATTTAATATAATATATCAGATAAATCTAATTAATAGAGAAAAATTTATTACAATGTACATGTACGCACCTGAGTTTAGA